AAGGMATAAAKTTCAGGGACACAGATAGCCACACATTTGCTTACMAACCTGCTTRACCTCAAAGATAAAGGCACTAAGGACAGAAAAATCACCCCAGAGATTGTTCATTTACTTACTCAATATTTTAACTTGACTACAAGTTCAAGTCTTCGACTATTGTGCAAACAATTATAATTGTGCATTTGGATAGACTTGYTAAAACAATTCTGTACCTTAAGCTTGGAAATGCAGCAGAATTTCTCTCCTGCACCTGGYTTCTGAGCTTCTTTCATTTTGCTTTGTTGAAGCAATTCCAGTGTCTGTTTCTGAATTGTCCTAGTGAAAGAAAAAGAAGAAACATGTTTTTCTCATGCTTGCAAATAACCAGATTCCTTCTGAGGGCACATATTTGAGCACCTTCTCCAGATAAATGCATACTGAATTTGGACAAWTATACAAGAGAAAACAATATYTTCTAATCAAGAAAATTGKCATGCTATTTTTCATCAGGTAWTGTATGCCATCAATAGGAAGGATCCAGCTGCCAGTGGTGAGAACTSAGCCCATGAGTCTCATGAGTTCTGAAGGAAGTGGGAAGTAAAGAGCCCTGAGACAGTTGCATCAGCCTAGCTAGAAATGTGAATAAACCAACCAGGTCACAAACCAACCAATGAGGRACAAATGAAGAAAAGAGATGCTGCATAAGCCAACTAGTGTGAAAGTCCTGTAATACTGCTTTTTCAGTCTTCTTCACTAGCATCTGTTACTTACYGTTGTGTGAAGCAGGACTCTGAAGACTATTAAGTCTGGCTGATTTAYCTGTCTCTTTTCTGCATGCCCTCTCTGCCCTTTTCCAATAAAATTGCTTTAAGTTTCTTCCTTGCTTATAATAGAAACTGGATCAGATCCTAGTTTCTTAGTAATATAGGGAAAAAAAATAAAACCAAAAACACCAGATCAATCGAAGGCTCTATTTCCCCTTCTAACTTGGCAAATCATCACTCTTCATTTGTCTTCTAACCAGACATATGCCCACTTTTAGCAAACTTCCAGTACTGCTAAGCCACCTGCTTTCTTACACATCTTACACATTTCCCACAAAGATATTAAAATAAAGGACAATAAATTCCACTGACCTGTAAAAGCCCCTGCACATTTGAGGTCTAACAAGAATATCCAGGCAGAGTGAATCAGGGAATTTCRCTCTAAGGACTGCTTTAGCAGTCCTTAAATGAAAGGCTTCATTTAATCAAGTTACATAATATAGCTCCCCACTGCGTGATAGTGGGGGAAACTGAAGAAAAAAAAGGGCAAATCAGGGCCCCTACCTTATGCTGCAATGGGTATAGGTTAATTTCCTCTTTTTCGCCTCAGATATCGTGTTCAGGCAGCACTTGGACACTAAGGCACCTTGCAGCAGGTCAGCGTCTTCCACTTCACAGYACCAGGGCTGGCAGAGAAGTCATCCTTTAGTCCTCAGCAGGACTCAACTGCCCTTTCACATTCTCCCACAAACACCCCCACTCAATCTCTACAAATGCTAATTTCCACAACAATGTTAATCCTCTCAAATGTATTTCTTCATTAACTTTATTGCTGCTGAATTCTTGGATATTAACTCCTTCTATTGTAACCTTTCTATTCTCRGTCTCAAAAAGTGTGTGTATTATTATAACATTCCTGGAAATACCTAATTTGTAATTAAGTGTAAGTGATCAACATTTTAGCAACTACTATGGTAAACAAAGTTCACTTTTCTGTTTTGTTTAAGGATGACTGTATTAAGTCATCAGTACTAAATTGTGCTTATACAGCTTTATACTTTCTCTGAAAATTGGCATTGAAGTTTGCATTGAAGGGAATATTTTATGCTTTATATTTATACTAACYTACCAAACTTACAAGCTTWAATCAACTTTCAGCCCGTCCACRAAGCCACAAGATGAGCATCAGAACAAAATGGAAATCTATGGGTCTTCTCTCCTATTCCAGAAGCAGGCAATAGGATTATAGGATCACTCAATTCAGTTGCATTTACACCACATTTTAAATCCAGGTTAAAACTCAGACTACAATTTCAGTGTCACATAATTCATCAGCAGTGTTCCCTCTCCCTTCTACCACCTGTCTGCTGTGCATCCCTGCTGCTTACCTTYCTCCCAGTGTTGACTTGTCTATGCTTGGCTGCAAACCAATTTAATTTATGGATATAATGTTCATACTMATGGGTATAAGTTGAAACACAGGAAGTTCCATCTCCATATGAGGAAGAACTTCTTTTCTGTGAGGGTGCCAGAGCCCTGGAATAGGCTGCCCAGGGAGTTGTGCAGTCTCCTGCTCTGGAGATCTTCCAAACCCATCTGGATGCCACCCTGTGCCTTCTGCTTGGGGTGTCCCTGCTGGAGCAGAGGATTGCACTAGATGATCTCTAGAGGTCCCTTCTAACCTCAGCCATTCGGTTGTTCTGTGCGTCTGTGTGAAATCATTAACTAGGCAGAAAACAAGCACACACATACACAAAAGCCTTACTTGTAGTGACCTGAGTTGGCCTTGGAACARTCCAGCAAGTGTCAAACCCAGCTCAGGGAACAAGTAGGACAGCAGAGCCACAAACAAGAGAGGAGGGGAAACTGGGGATAAGGAGTAGGAGAAGAGGGAAAGTGAAACATGTCCATCTGAGCACCAGTGATGTCTTACATTACCTGTACACTCCCAAGGCCCGAACAACCTCGCCCTGGCCAGCCCTGAACACTGCTCACCTCCTAGGATCAGCACAGCAAGCACGTCTATGTAATATAAATGTACCCAAAGAGGTTTGTTTATCTAAGCCTGTTTGTKTTCAAGGGTTGTTCTAARCTTGTCAACCTCCCCAACTCCCTGCTGCTTCTACACCATTTCTCAGTCTCTTCCTGTAACACATCCCACCTCCCAGGCTCTTGAGCAACTGCTCAAAAAAAGAAAAAAAAAAAAAAAGCTCAAAAAAAGTAAACTTTCTGTTGAGATTTTTGTTATTTATACCATATTAATCAGAACCATAGAATCACAGAATCCTTAAGGTTGAAAGAGATTATCTCGTCCAACTCCCCTACACATGCAGGGTCACCTAGAGCAGGTGGGAGCATGTAGAGCAGAGCCGTGTGGGACAGGGCGGCATTCAGGCAGGTTTTGAAGATCTCCAAAGAAGGAGATTCCACAACCTCTCTGGACAGCCTGTTCCAGGGCTCTGGTACCCTCACTGTCAAGAAGTGTTTCCTTAAGTTCCCGTGGAACTTCTGGTGCTTCTCTTTGGAAATGTTTCCTCTAGTCCCATCAATGGCCACCACTGAAAAGAGGCCGGCCCCCTCCTCCTCACTGCCTCCCTTGAGGTATTTATAGACACTGATCAGGTCCCCCCTCAGTCTCCTCTTCTCCAGCCTGAACAGGCCCAGCTCCCTCAGCCTTTGCTCATAGGGCAGGTGTTCCAGGCCCTTGATCATCCTTGTAGCCCTGCGCTGGACTCTCTCCAGCAGCTCCACATCCCTCTTGTAATGGGGCATCCAGAACTGGACACAGTCTCCAGATGTGGCCTCAGCAGGGCTGTGTAGAGGGGCCTCCCTCGACGATCACCTCCCTCGACCTGCTGGAGATGCTCTTCTTAATGCACCTCAGGATCCCCTTGGCCTTCTTGGCCACAAAGGCACACTGCTGCTTCATGGTCATCTTGTCATCCACCATGACCCCCAGGTCCCTCTCTGTGGGGCTGCTCTCCAGCAGATCAACCCCTAATCTGTACTGGTGTCCGGGGTTATTCCTCCCCAAGTGCAGGACCCTGCACTTGCCCTTGTTGAACTTCATGAGGTTTCTCTGTCTCTAGTCGTCCAGTCTGTCCAGGTCTCTTCATCCAGGTCATTGATAAATAAATTGAACAGGACTGGACTGAGGACTGATCCCTGGGGAACACTATAGACCTCCAACTGGATTCAGCACCACTGATCACCATTCTCTGAGCTCTGCCATGCAGCCTGTTCTCAATCCACTTCACTCATGTATCCCACAAGAGGATGCTGTGAAGGACAGTGTCAAAAGCCTGACTCCAGTCCAGCTAGATGACATCCACCGCTTTCTCCTTGTCTATCCAGCTAGTCTATTCCATCATAGAAGGCTATTAGGTTAGTCAAGCATGATTTCCCCTTAGTGAATCCATGCTGACTACTCCTGAGCACCTTCTTCTCCTCCATGTGCTTGGAGACAACACCAGAATGAGCTGTTCCATCACCTTTCCAGGGATGGAGGTGAGACTGACTGGCCTGTAGTTGTCTGGGTCCTCCTTCTTGCCATTTTTGAAAACTGGCCTGACATTGGCTTTCTTGCAGTTCTCAGGCATCTCCCTCATTGTCCAGGACTTATCAAAGATGATGGAGAGTGGCTTAGCAATAACATCCACCTGCTCACACAGCAGTCTGGGATGCATCCCATCAGGGCCCATGGATTTGTGGGAATTGAGTTCACCTATTGGTAACTCTGACCCTGATTGGGTCACAGTGTTCTCCGTCAGTATTCTCTAACCCAATCTTCCTCTACTCAGGGAAAGTCTTCCTCTCTGCAGGCTTGCTTTTTTGTCCCTAGGGCCTGGGATTCCAGAGGGCTGCCCTTGGTAAACACTGAAGCAAAGAAGGCATTCAGTAACTCTGCTTTTTCTGTGTCTTTCAGATGCAAAAAGGTCTTATGATATGATAATGATGTGAAAATTTTGGATCTAGCTTGGAAATATCCTTTGTGCTCTTTCTGCTTACTTATAGTGCACACTGTAGAATGAGAGAGAAACACTGAGGAAAGGACAGTGCTGCCTGAAGTGGCTTAGGTCATCTTTGGCCAGGTTGCTTGACCTCAGCCTCTCCTCTGCAAACACACAGAAAAAAACAGCTATTTTCTGTTGGATCAACTCCTCATCCTGTTCAGCAGAAGAAAAAGAATAAGGAGTGTTTGAAACAGAATAGCCTTTGAAAAAAGGCCCATGGAATCAAGACTAGGAGGCCCACTGAAAACTAGAGCTGTAACAACAGTGACAAAGAGGGTTTTTTTTCTTAAAAAAGTCAATTGCTTAACCACATCAAAATGATATGGTTAGTGATAAACAGATAAATAAAAAAGAGTTAGTTTATTTTGATTAAGGTTCTTTCACTTCCTTCCCAGGAATGAACTGCTCAGAGGATAATCGTCCACTGAAACTCCGTAAGTTTGTTTACAATTCCAGAGCGGATCTCCAAAAGCAGCAACAAGACAAACACACTGCATTTGCCAACAGCAGGATTAGCTGCCAAAACACTAGGGCAGTTCCCCTGAACAGAATGGTAGGAAAGGAAATGATGTATCAGATAAGTATATGCTGTGCATTTTTCTTTTGTTCCTTTTGGGAATCCCGTAGCAACCTGTCATGAGCCTGAGGGAGAATCTCAACCCTTGTAGCACCTTGTCATGGGCAAAACCACTTGTGAGGAACACCTCCAATGATCATCAGCCACGGCCAAGAGCAAGCTGAGATGAAAAAATTTAGTGTACCAGCATATTCACAATGCAGCTGAGCTTTATGACAAGCCTCCTGAGGAATGTGCCTGGGCCAGGAGACATCTCCCTTCCCCAGTTGGCACTTTGGTCTTGATTCACCTACCAAACACAGTCAGAGAGCAACTCACTCCTACGCCTAAGTCAGCAACATCTGCCACAATTGCAGAGCAGAGGTCAAAAAAAACCACCCTTTTGACTGGTCTACATCAGTCCTACCACTTCTCCACCAGGTTGGGAATGTATTTAGTACCAGAGGAAATATTAGTTAGCTGTAAGGCTACAACGGTGTTTCCAACCTTCTCCAAGTCTCCTGGATCTAATTTCCTTTCTTTTAAACTTTAGACAAGTAAATGTAAGATTCACCCCTAGAAGATTCATCCCACTTTGCACAGTGTAGACAGGACAAAAACATACTGTGTTCATAGGCTACAATTACAAAGTAAATGCTTGAAAAGTAGCTGTCATGGCTCAGGCTGAATGGGGTTGGCCTAAAACACTACAGCAGACATCCTGTGCGGCTGGCAAAAGCAGACAGGGTAGAGTTGTGAAGTTTCAGTTTGCACATATCTCTCCTATACAAACCCATAACTACATTTGATTGTTTTAAATGACGTTTCATCTTAAGCAATGAACAAAAAGAAGACAAAAAAAGACACAGACATCTGGATTTAAAGCTCAAGGAAGCAATTTTCTGCAAGTTGCCTTCCCTGAGTCCCAGAGGGACACTCTAGTTTTAATGCAAAATGCATCTTCCAATTGACTCAGCTTATTCATGTGGATAATTAGATGGATTCATCTTTTCTTGACAAACATGACTAAAAAAACACATGTAGTAACCAATTCTTCCCAAAAGTCAATTGTAGTATCAATTAGAATTTTTAATTAATCCATTTTCCTGAT